ATATATATATATATATCCTCTGATTTCCATTTGAAAGGTATTCTCTCTTTTGGAGTCCTGGGGCCTCGCCTGTGTCCCTTTCAGACTTGATTCTATTCTTTAATAGATACCCTCCTTAGCAGCTTTATCAATTTTTATGTGGGTGGTATTTTTATTTAAGAGGACTCATAAAAAGAACACTACGAAAAGATGTTGAAGCTTTTAATACACTTGAGAAATACACTTGTTTTGATTTCATGAGGTCTGGAAACATTTTTCAGTCAGTCTTTCATTCAATAAGTGGAATGCCTACTACGTGCTAGTGTACATAGCGCCGGAGATACAATATAGACTATTCCCTGACTGCAAAGAGCTAACCATCTAGCTAGGGAGAAAGACAAATTACAGACAATTATATCAGTGAGATAAGTTTCATTGTTAGTTTCATCAGAATTCTAGATGTCAGTATTTTCCAACCTCAACCATTCTGAGGAAATGACCACACATAAGGGAGTTTAAAAACAGGAAAAAGCCCAGAATATTCATTTTCATATCAAAAGTCTCACATAACGTTCCTAGATCAATCATATGGTCTTTCCTGAGATTCTACAAGCAGGAATCTTCTCTAACATGCCTTCCAGCTACCTTTCTGAAATTCTACTTTCAACAGAACTTGGCTAGTAAAAATGTGACACATTCTTAATTACCTGAGGAGTAGTAGGTTCCAGATCCTTAATTAAGTTATAAGCTTCTTGTACATCATCTGAAATATAAGAAATAAGTAGATACACTAGTCTGTATTCCAGCAAACTCTTCTGAAACAGTCCCCCAAAAGATAAGATCCTTCAGTACTCAAACATTCATGGGAAGTATGATTTCTTTTATCTGTCCTCTAACTCTCCATCAAGTTCAATGTTGAGTAGTTATCCTAAAGATAACTAAATATCCTTAAGAAACCCATTTTAAGCTATGAAGCACCTAAAAAAGTGTTCAAGCTAAGAATATGGACTGGGTATTATATACTAATGGCATCGTAATTATATAAGAAAAACAACCATTTTTTAAAAAGAGATATACATTAATTATGTAGGAGTGAAAAGATGAAGTCTGAAATTTGCTTTAAAACATTTCAGCAACAAAAAAGGGAGAGGGATGATAGATGAAAAAAGATTGGCAATATCTTGAAGACTGTTGAACCTGGGATGAATGTTTGGGTGTTCATACTATTTACTTTTGTTTATGTTTGAAAATTTTTATAACAAAAATTAATTTATAAAATACGTTTCTTTAATTTTGTCCAAAACCATATTTCTTTGTGCTAATATATCAAATAGAGAGAACTGTTTGCAAGTTCATGTTCTTAGTTTAATAAACACATTTTCCTTGATGAGGAATATGTTGTCTGACTGGTTTCTACCATACACCTAAAAAGGCCCACACTGCTAGTCCAAGGTCCATGACAGAGTGCCACCACCAACATGTGGTAGCTACTATCCTGTACTCATAACTTTTAGATAGAAGACTGCTTTATGTGTGTGTCTAACAATTTTAACCTTACTTAGTGGCAATAAATATCACATTCTCTTTGTTTTTTTTTTAATTTTAATTTTTTTCCCCCCAAAAGCCCCAGTAGATAGTTGTATGTCATAGTTGCACATCCTTCTAGTTGCTGTATGTGGGACGCAGCCTCAGCGTGGCCGGAGAAGCAGTGTGTTGGTGCTCACCTGGGATCCGAACCCGGGCCGCCAGCAGCGGAGCGTGCGCACTTAACCGCTAAGCCATGGGGCCGGCCCTATCACATTCTCTTTGAATCATACTATTTCTCATAAGAAGCCAGAGGTACAAAGAAACAGAAAAGCAGACAATTAGAGCAAATAAAAAACAGTTAATGATAAAACAAAAAAAGACAGGAAAATGTAGATGTACATTATACACCGGGGGACACTGAGAAAAAAAGACCTACAAGGGAGGGGAAGGCAAAACAATGGAAAAACTGAAATAAGAATGGGTAGGGGGGTGGCCAGCCCCGTGGCTTAGCGGTTAAGTGCGCGC